TTTTTTTTTTTTTTTTTTTTTTTTTGCTAAATCACATTTGTTGAATGTTTGCAGACAAACTTGTGGCAATGGAGGTTACCCAGTTGCTCTTAAATGCTCAGTCGATTGATGGAGCTGTTCGTAAGCACGCTGAAGAAAATCTCAAGCTGTTTCAGAGTCAAAACCTTGCTGGTTTTTTGCTTTCACTTGCTGGTGAGCTTGCCAATGATGACAAGCCAGTTGATAGCAGGAAACTTGCCGGTTTAGTCCTTAAAAATGCTCTCGATGCTAAGGAACAGCACAGGAAGTATGAGCTTGTCCAGAGATGGCTGTCTCTTGACATGGCAACAAAGACACAGATCAGAGCGTTCTTGTTGAAGACACTTTCCTCCCCTGTCCCTGATGTTCGTTCAACTGCCTCTCAGGTCATTGCTAAGGTTGCTGGTATTGAGTTGCCACAGAACCAGTGGCCTGAGCTTGTCGGTTCTCTTCTCTCCAATATTCACCAGTTACCAGCTCATGTCAAGCAAGCCACTTTGGAGACTCTTGGATACCTCTGTGAAGAAGTGTCACCTGATGTTGTAGAACAGGAGCATGTAAACAAGATACTAACAGCGGTTGTTCAGGGTATGAATGCTGCTGAAGGAAATAATGATGTTAGACTTGCTGCAACCCGCGCTTTGTACATGGCTCTGGGTTTCGCCCAAGCAAATTTCAACAACGACATGGAGCGTGATTATATCATGAGAGTCGTGTGTGAAGCAACTCTTTCCCCTGAGGTGAAAATTCGACAGGCTGCTTTTGAGTGTTTGGTATCCATCGCTTCCACATACTATGAGAAGTTGGCGCATTATATGCAAGATATATTCAACATCACGGCCAAGGCTGTAAGAGAAGATGACGAGTCTGTTGCTCTACAAGCGATTGAATTCTGGAGCTCTATATGTGATGAGGAGATTGACATCTTAGAAGAGTATGGTGGTGAGTTCACTGGGGATTCTGATGTTCCATGTTTCTATTTCACTAAGCAGGCCCTCCCTGCGCTTGTACCCCTACTGTTGGAAACTCTGCTTAAGCAAGAAGAAGATCAGGATTTGGATGAAGGAGCTTGGAATATTGCAATGGCTGGTGGGACATGTCTCGGTTTGGTTGCTAGGGCAGTTGGAGATGACATTGTACCCCATGTTATGCCGTTCATCGAAGAGAAAATATCAAAGCCTGATTGGAGAGAGCGGGAAGCTGCAACATATGCTTTTGGTTCCATTTTGGAAGGCCCTTCAGCAGATAAGCTGATGACAATTGTTAACGCAGCGTTAACATTTATGCTAAATGCTTTAACAAAGGACCCAAGCAACCATGTGAAGGACACAACCGCATGGACTCTTGGTCGGATATTTGAGTTCCTTCATGGTTCAACAATCGAGACACCCATAATTACTCAGGCAAACTGTCAGCAAATTGTTACAGTATTGATCCAGACAATGAAAGATGCACCGAATGTTGCAGAAAAGGCTTGTGGGGCTCTATATTTTCTTGCTCAAGGCTATGAGGATATTGGTCCCAACTCTCCATTAACACCCTTCTTCCAGGAAATTATTCAGTCTCTGCTAGCTGTTGCACACAGAGAGGACGCAACTGAGTCACGCTTGCGAACTGCAGCGTACGAGGCATTGAATGAAGTTGTCAGGTGTTCGACTGATGAAACATCAACCATGGTTCTGCAATTAGTACCTGTGATAATGCTCGAGCTCCACAACACTATGGAAGGGGAAAAGCTTTCGTCAGACGAGAGGGAGAAACAAAACGAGCTTCAGGGACTTTTATGTGGATGCTTGCAAGTCATCATACAGAAATTAGGATCTGAACCGACTAAGTATGTTTTCATGCAGCATGCAGATCAAATGATGGGACTTTTCCTGAGGGTTTTTGGTTGTAGAAGTGCAACTGCACACGAAGAAGCCATGCTTGCCATTGGTGCTCTTGCTTATGCTGCGGGTCCTGATTTCGCCAAGTACATGCCTGAGTTTTACAAGTACTTGGAAATGGGTCTTCAGAACTTTGAAGAATACCAAGTGTGTGCTGTTACTGTTGGCGTTATTGGGGACATCTGCAGAGCATTGGAGGACAAGATTTTACCTTACTGCGATGGGATTATGACGCAGCTTCTGAAGGATTTGTCGAGCAACCAGTTGCACCGATCAGTAAAGCCGCCGATTTTCTCCTGTTTTGGCGACATCGCACTGGCCATTGGGGAGAACTTCGAGAAGTACATCAACTATTCAATGCCGATGCTTCAAAGCGCAGCAGAGCTATCAGCTCACGCGTCTGGAGCTGATGATGAAATGACAGAGTACACAAACTCATTGAGAAATGGAATACTCGAGGCTTATTCAGGCATATTCCAAGGGTTCAAGAACTCTCCGAAAACGCAGCTACTAATTCCTTACGCACCCCATATCCTTCAGTTTCTGGACAGCATATACATGGAGAAAGACATGTAAGTTATCTTTGTTCTTTCAACGAAACCGTAGTTATAGATTAGTTTTAAATTTTTTTAAAAAGGTGTTTAATTTTGTGGATGAAATGCGTGTGTGACAGGGACGAGGTGGTGATGAAGACAGCGATTGGGGTGTTAGGGGATTTAGCGGATACACTAGGGAGTCATGTGGGTGGTTTGATACAACAGTCAGTGTCGAGCAAAGAGTTTTTAAACGAGTGTTTGTCATCTGATGATCACACAATCAAAGAAGCAGCGGAATGGGCAAAGCATGCCATCACCCGTGCCATTTCTGTTTGAAGGGCATTTCTTTGTGCCTTTCGTTTTGTTTTTTTTATTACAGTAAAGTCTGCATGCATCTCTGGGGTGGGTTTGAGTCTGGGAAGGGTAGAGCTGCAACAGCCGAGAGTCACATCATCATCATCATCAGTTTCATTTGCATCATCAGCATTACTGGGGTCAGCATTGAGTCATGGATGGGGTGGGGGAATGATGAGTTTTGAATGGGGGGGGGGGGTAGATAATGAAAACTGGAAAGAGACGCCGGTGAGACTTTGGCCGGAGGTGAGTAAGAGGAGTCGTTTTGAGGTTGTTTTGGGGACAAAAAGGTTCATCGAACTATCATAATACTCTCTACTACATTTGTTTTCTTGTCATATGTTTCTTTTTCTTCAACCCCCTTTAGGGGAAGGGTCTCTGGTTTTTATCAAGTGAGGGGGCATATTATCAGATGGACACAATCCCTTGAATTTTTTTCTTTCTTTTTTACTTGTTTAGTTGCATTCTTTGCATCATCATTTTGTTACTTTTCTTTTGGGGGTTTGTATGTTTGGTAATGAAGCATATTCACATTTTATTTTTATATAAAAAAAGTTGTCAGGTCTATTTTCTCTTTGATGCAGTTTTAGGAGTTATGCTGTTAGCTTAAAGCTTCTGTTTACGTGTACATTATACGGTGTCATGTCTTTAGGGTCACAAGAGGTCTACATCTATTTTATTACAAAGTAATTGTTATTACTCATATGAATTCCTTATTACTTGGTTGGCTCGAACTATAAGGGAAAGGTCGCATGTTAACAGGGGAACGTCCTCTGCCTTACTCTTTGTCCAAAGAGCCAAG